TATCTTAAATGTATCTGACGGCATTTACAGGCGGATCTGTATGTATGTGACCGCAATTACGTCCAGAAATAAGTAACGAAGTCCTAGTGTGAGTATGCCCAGAGTGCGGTGATACTATTTGCATGTTCCTGTTATTAGAGCTTCTGTTTGATTGCTGGGTTCGTTGCATGTTATTCATTATTTATGTACTTTTTAGAAATATAGAAAATTAGAAATGAATTGAAATGGCTGGTGGCTTTCAGAGGACAAACCCCTTTCTCTCCAAGGAGATGAGGCTGCTATGACATGGCAAACACCGGATACACCCACTCGCTATTTGCGCATCTTGGTTACGAAAGATGGGCTGGCGCCCCAAATGGGCCCCTCCATGCTGGCCAAACACATCAATAAAATAGGAAGGTGGGGCAACACCTTCACTTCCCAAATGGGCCCCTCCATGCTGGCCAAACAGATCAATAAAATAGGAAGGTCGAGCGCTGGTCTTCAACACGCCGGTCTTCTCAATGATGTGGTATATTGCTTCTATCTGGACAGTTCCTGACAGTTCAATAAAGGAGTTGAATAGACGCGCTAGGCTTTACCTGTGGACAGGAGACCCCAATAAAGACAAGGGCATACCTAAGATAGCTTAGCACGGAGACCACGAGACTGGGGCCCAGGAATCATGGACCCCGGAACAGAAACGAAAGCCCTGCAAATCAAATGGATCATCAAACTGTTGATGAATCCGGATAGCGCCTGGAATAAGCTGGCATTGGACAGTATCAGATCTGTGGCACCAGTAACCTCCCTGAACTATATGTCAGGCCTGTTTTGGGTAATGAACAAAGAATGGGTGATATCGACGGGACGGAGGAATCGGACGAGGAATAACAGACGTGAAGACCACCGACCGCCCACCCCTTACTGGCCGGCACTACTTCTATCATGGAGGAAAATAATCCCTAACAAGACAAACAAGCCTAAATCTAAGGATGAAGTACTAAGACAACCGCTTTTCGGGAATGAATGGTTAACAAACGAGGCTGACAACCCACTATTCCTAGAGCGGAGGTGGCTGTCCTGGATTAAGAACGGTATGTGGAAAGCAGATCACTTGTGGAAGGAGGACAAAAAAGAATGGATAACGGAACAAGAAGTTAGTGCCCGACTGAAAGGATGCCACAGACGAGGGGCCAATCTTCCGTATTTACTCAGTCGCATTCCACAAGAGTGGAAAGAGATCTTGGAAAAAGATGATTCATGGAGAGCGGGCGAGTGGGGTCTAAGGCACGACTGACTCTACAGCTTATGCAGCAAGGCTCTCTCACCAGGGGCCACTTTCCTCTCCTTCCCGATCTCCCTCTCACCAATTCCGATATGCCAACTATTCTGAACTGCAATGTAGAATCATCTATACTAGATTCCTTCCTTCCTCCTTTGAAAAGTAAGGGTCCTAGGTACATGGCCAAAGGCAATCTTCAGACCGGACACCAGAATCCGGTCCTTGGAATTCGACCCCGCGGAATGGACCTGGAGGCCAGATACTACCAGTAACTTCAAGGCAAAGATCCCAATCCAGGGGATTACTCAGTCAAACTTGGGTACAGACTGTCTCTGAAGACCAAAAATCCAGACCCTATTATCAAAATCAGATGGCGGAACCTCGTGGGTCAAGAAGCAGACAGAATTACACGAATTCATTGGGAACAATTCAAACGGATGAGACCAATCAAGATCAGTAGGGCTGCATACACAATCAGCCATTGCTGCTTACAATGGCTGATTGTGTACGCAGCCCTACCGGTGAACCAATGGCTGCACATTAGACGGAAAGCCACAGAGCCCGACAGCTCGGAGTTATGCTCAGCCTGCTCCGAAGGTGCGATAGAGGAGGATGTAGTTCACTGCCTAGTGCTTTGTAAAGTGGCGACTGACTGAATACTGGGCGAGAGCTTCTTCACTCTGGGATTCCCTCTTCACATCTCCCTTCCCAGAGCAACCCATTCAACTCCTTCTCTTGACTAACATCCCTGATCAGGCACGGAAGGCTGAGAGGATCTGGTTTGAAGTTTGAACTCATCAGGAAAGTGAGACCCTATGGGTCATATGGAAGGAAAGATGCAGCAGAACAATTCAGTTGAAGGACGGTCCAACCCATGGGGAAAAGGTGTGGATAGAAACAAAAACAATGATCCAAGCTGAGATCCTCTGCAGATGGCGTAAGATCAGACAAGGGTGGACAGAAGACGAAGAACAGCAGCGGAACAAGGAGAGGCTGAGCTTCTATAGGAACTGGCTGGTAAATGGCAAGGTCGGAGAATGGCGACAGGATCGCTGGAAAGAATGGCATAATTCAAGACCTGGGTATGCTGGAAAGAATGGCATAATTCAAGACCAGAAAGGGGTTTCCAACACCAGACAACGCTGGAAGGCACAATCACGTCCTAGGCCGCAAGGGGGTGAATACATTACTCAAGAGGCCGGGGGGGGCACAGACAACGCGAAAAAAGGAGGATAAGTCGGGGAAGATGCATGCCAGGTTTCAAGTTTGACGATCGAAGGACGAAAATGCAGGCTGAGGGTTTGGGGTTTAAGGACAGACAGTTGAGGGTAGGGGGAGGAAGCAGGTTAGGTTGGGTAAGGACAACAGATGAGCTCTTTCTAGGTTCAAAAACAGTTTGACTATCTGACAGTTCTGGAATCCAGATCTGAGAGGAAAGAGAGGAACAAGGCAACCTGGCAGTCAATCCTCCTGCAGTGGAGCAATCAATGCTGACCAGGGGTCCTTCGGCCTGACGGAAGGAAGCGTGTGTGACCATTTAATGGTGTGTGAGCATTTATTGATGTATTGCTTTTCTCGACTTGCTGGTGGAATAGGTACCGGACTGACGCTCCCCAGAATAGAAGGAGCCAGGACCAGAAGGCCCTGTTTAAAAAAAAAAAATAATTAAAAAAAAATAAAATTAAAAAAAAATGAAATTATTGCTTACTAACGAAATTATTGTTGTCAGTCGGCGGAGGCTTTGAAGTTTTGAACCCTCGACCTAACAGTTGGGTTTTGGGCACGTTTTTGTTGGGAACGACATGATGGGTTTTGGGGCCCCTTTTTGCCTCATTTGCTTTGCAGGCATGGGTTCAAGAGATGGCCAAGTATGTGAAGAGCCTGGACCCCAACCACATGGTTGGAACGGGATCGGAAGGCTTCTACGGGCCTGGGGAGGGCTCAAATGCATGCAATCCGGCAGATTGGGCCGCAACCCAAGGCACAGATTTTGTTCGAGACCACAAAATCGCGGAAATTGATTTCACATCGGCACATTTATACCCTGACCATTGGTAAGTCTTCTTCTTTATGCTGAGAAACAGAAAAAAAAAAAGAGTACAAAGATTCACAGAATTTTGAAAGGAGGGAATGCAATTCCGTGAAAGGATTCTTTGTCGGTCACCTCTCCACAGGATCCAGCTCTCTCTCTCTCTCTCNGTGTAGTGGAGCGAGGCGCTCTATCCCCGAAAGGACACAAACACATCCACGTTCATTCCTGCTAGGCGCCGTTTTTTTGCATTCGCAAACCTGTGGGGGCCATTCTTAACTTTTGCCCAATCACATATCCAGAGATTTTCATCATCACCTTTCTAGAGACATGCCGAACACATTACCTTCCTCCGCTGAATATAATGCAGGGTCATTATAGCCGTATTTAGGGCATCTTTCAGTCTATACACAACTATAATGACCGTGAGGGAATATCACATTCACACTTCACACAAACTGCGCCCCTGGTGTTTTCGATGTAAAGCATACGGACCTTTGTTTCTGGATCCTTCCTACGCACACAACCCCTCTCGCAAACAGAAAACGACAGGTAGACTGATCAGGGACCCGTTCAAAGCAAATCTATGGCGAACGGTGGACCCGGGGCATGAGGGGTGGGTGTATGTAGAAGGGTCGGGCAGGGGACGATGGCCCACAGGATGGACATGGGAGCGCCAAGGAGAACCAAATTGGGATTCCAGACCCCCAAAGGGCTGGTCTCCTCCAGCATCCTCGCAACCACTTCCACTGCATTCACGTCCTCAGGGGGAACAGGCCGCAAATGGTCCACCAAAAGAAGGGGGACTGGTTTCGGTCCCTGATTCTCATCAGGAGGTGCAGGAGAATTCGCCCATTATATCGGGTACTTCAAAAGCAGTGGAAAAATCAGGGGCTATTTCCACCACTGGTTCGCTTGGCCCAGATCCCAGGAACTACATGCAATCTCTCCCACCCAATGAAGGGGGGGAGGTTGAGGTTGTTGTTGCTTCTCTCTCACCCAAGGTAGGGGAGAAAGTTGAGGTTGTTGTTATTCCTGAGAAGGTAATGTGCAAGGTATTCCACAGGTACAGGAAAAAAATGTGGAATCGGACCAGGAGATGGAACAGGAACAAACCTTAGTAAGAAGGAAGAGGAGGACACAAAATAAAAATAAAAAAACTCATAGTGAGTAAGGGCGTTTCGGTGAGACACCGGGGATCACCGTTAAAATGGGCTGAAATAAAGGGAGGTGTAGAAGAACAGGGATTACACAAATCAAAGGAATCCCAGGATACAGTCCCATTAATCACGACAGAGGAAATAGATGCAGCAGATTCTTCAGGCCCCTTCAAGGAAGTGTTTGGTCCAGCCCCAATGGAGGTGGATCATCACGTACCAGAGGATACTCCAATGGTGGATGTTATGGAACAGACCAAGGGGACTGACCAATCACAGATTCCTGTGTCTGACAAGATTTCCCAGCTCACTGATTGGCTGCTCCGACAGCTAAAAAATAATTTTGAAACAGCGTCTGACGATTTTTGGACAAAATCTTATGAACAATTATACGTGATTCTAAGTAACAGTCCAAGTCTGAAATTGGCTTTGGAACAGGGATTACCGTCAGGAGCCCTTTGGCCAGTGGTTAGCCAAAGGATGTTGCAGACAGTAATTACTATGTTTCACCCCCCCCCGTTGCTAGAAGAGGCACAATCAGACCAATGTGTGGTGACAGCTGGTGGCTCAAGGGGTTCCCAAGCTGTCTCTTATACACATCTAGATGTGTATAAGAGACAGGTGTATGTGTGTGTGTGACTTCCCCTCTGTTTGTCTCCCTTGGCGTTGTGCATGGTGAACATGACACGACACACACAGAGGGCATAAGAAAAAAAGAAAAGAACAGAAACGACAGTTGGCTTCTGGTAATCAGCAGTGATTTCTGGCGCGTAAAGACAGGCACTGGCATGACAAGTGCATGTGACCTGATGATCGGCCAGTTGTCGATAAATTAATGATGATTGATTGTGTTTGTTCTCCGCAGGTTGGCTCACAATTTGCCACTGGTCGACATTATGAAGTGGATGACGAAATGGATAAGCAGGCATATCGACGACAGCAATGCGATGGGCAAACCGCTGCTCATTGCAGAGTTCAATCTGAGGAAGGAACCGGACAGCTCCCCCCTCATCATGTCGAATCGCGCCGCGTTCTTGGGTCTCACCTACGACTGGCTATTTGCATCCGTGCAAAATAAAGGGGCGGGTGCGGGGGCACTTTTCTGGCATTTGCTAACCCCGGGGACCCGAGGCAATGCAGACGGATTTGCAGTTTTCAAAGATCAGGACCCTGAGGTGATTGAAGTCATTACCTCTCACTCAAAACGTCTGGATGCTCTCAGAAAGGTTCTGAAGTCTCCAGCACCAGCAGCAGGGGGAAAGACTGCAACAGCATGATGGAATGGTCGCGCTTCACATCCTCACACGGCCGAGATTGATGGGTAGATGGATGGGATGGATGGGATGGATGGATGAGATGGATGGATGGATGGATGGATGGATGGGTTGGTTGATTGGTTGGGTTGAGTGGTTGAGTGCTTGATGGCATGATGGAACAGCCGATTGACATCCTCAAAAGGTGGAGATGGATGGATGGATGGATGGATGGATGGATGGGTTGGTTGTTTGGTTGATTGGTTGATTGGTTGAGGGAGAATCAGGGATCAAAATTGGGTTGAGGGAGAATCAGGGATCTGTGCAGTTGAGGGAGAATCAGGGATCTGTGCGAAGTGTTGCAGTAGAGAGAGGAGGGTTTGCAGCTGGGGGTAGAAATAAAATGGGCTTCGGGTGTTGTCTGTCATTGGTTTCACTTGATGGGACTGAAGCTGTGTTTTCACCCTTGTGCGGTATCCAGAACACAGTTTGGTCCCCGGACGATGAAACGGGAACGGAGTACCACAATTTCATCCAAGGACGGCGACACGGGATCTTCTTTTGTCTTTTTTTGCTGAGAAAAGTAGGTGAAATGCAGGGCTGCTGCTGCTTCTATTTTTGGCTCAGTGGCGCAGCTGGTGTTGGTTGGTGAAGCAGTCTTTGAAATGTAGGCTTTTTTTTCTTTTTTTTTTTCCTCCTTTTTGGAGAAATGTAGAATTTTAGGTCCGGCAGTTAGTCGGTTTTTTGGGGGGAAAAAAGGGTCCAGCAGGTATAGCCGTTTTGGCAGATATCAATGGGCAATGGGTTCTGCAATGGGTTAACAGTGCAAGGGTAAAGCCGCAGAGTTGGACCAAATTTTGCTCTTTCGTATTGATGTATGAATGACACAGATTGTGCCTCGCTCCAGTACTCACCAACTGTGCAAAATGAGAATGAACCTTCCGCTAGAAAATGGCAAGATACCCCGCCGCTTTTTTTGTATTTTGTGCATGTGGAGAGTAGGGGAGCAACAGACATTGTCTAGGAGACTTAGGCTCTAGGTTTTGTGCAGATGGCAAAGTTTCGCAGTAGACTGCTGATGCAGATTCGATGCTCTGCGGGATTGGTATGTTTGTTGTGATGTGGAGCAGTGTGAGAAAGGTCATGCCGCTCATGTGTCATGTGAGCAGTGTGAGGCATCACTGTCTCTTGGATCGCGCTTGTGAATCTGATGATATTGCATCTTCTTGGTGACAATTTGTCGGCTGTAACTACTGCGAACACAGTGATTGGTGTACTACACGATGGTTGCCATCGTGGTGGTCCCCGGGGTTAGCAAATGCCAGAAAAGTGCACCTGCACTTTTCCAGCCCTTCCTTGTGTCGTGAATGAATGCTCGGACATGTGAAGCAAATCTGAGCACCGAGGAGATGCATGCTTCACTCCTCCCAAGTAAGGGGGCCGGTTTCCTTGGCTTGGCTTTTTTTATGTGAAGCTGTTTGAGATGCATGCATCACTCCTAGTAAGGAGACCGGTTTAAAATTATTGGGGGAAAAAAAAAAAAAGCAAGAGAAGATGTTTGACAAAGATGTGGGTTTTAAAACTTCGTATCAACATTGTAGGCTTTTCAAGGATCTGGTTTCCAGACGTGAGCCGGCGTCGAGTCGGCATTGTGTTTGCTCGTTTGTTTGTTTGTTTGTTTGTTTGTTTGTTTGTTTGTTTGTTTTTGGTATATCACTTTTCTGATTTTGGCATTGAATTGCAATGGGAATTGGGGCATCGCTACACCAATCTCGAAATGTGCAAAATGAGAATGAACTTTGCGTTAGAACATGGCCCGATGCACGCACCACATTTTTGTCTTTTTCACATCTCCAGAGTGGTGTGTTGAGGCCCTTGAGCTGCATCAACGTAGGCAAGAGTGTTCTTGTATGGACGGTTCCCCATGGCCGACCTTTAACAACAGCCTCGCCTTCAGAGAATTGGTGAGTGTGAATTTTGACTCAAAAATTTTGCCTCCCCCTCCTCTTCCTCCTCCTCCTCCTCCCCTCCTCTTCCTCCTCCTCCTCCTCCCCTCCTCCTCCTCTTTCTCCCCCTCTTGTTCTTCTTCCTTCTCCACCTCCTCTCCATCCTCCCCCCCCTTTCTTCCTCCTCCTCCTCCTCCTCCTGCTGCTGCTGCTCCTCCTCCATTCAGTGTCCAACTAAGGCAGGGTGAATTGATAGCCTTCGTCAATTGTTCGGAGTTGATATCCTCCTTGACAGATGAGTCGATAGCCTAAGTGTTAGCCCTTGTTTTTTTTTTTTTTTTTTTCTATACTCTTACTAAAGAGTAAGGTGGGTCTCGCGTAATGCCCCCGCGAGGTCCGATTTACAGTGTTGGAAAAGCGCTCAGGGCGCGGGCCCAGCAGAAACCGGCAGTCGCGCCGTGGCCTTTCCGAGTGTGCCGCGGCGTCACGTGTTCGAATACAAGTACACAGGGCCGCGTTTGTCGGGTCTTCGGTGCACTGGGTTCTTTTTTTTTTTTTTTTTTTTAAAAAAAAAAACATCAGAGTCGGCACTAGCTGTGGTGGTATGAGCATCCACAGCTAGTGGAATCTTCAGATGGCTCCATTCTATTCGTGGGGAGTTGCACTTGCTGGAAACCGGTAAGCTCAGGTTCTGGCGGACAACTTGAGCATTTCGTGCACAGCCCATATTGCTTCCATCACGATTCCTCTACAGCATAATGGCAAGTAGTTTCCCCCTGCCTGAAAACCGCCCTTTACTGAGAGCTTACCGTACAAAATAAAGGGCCTCGCTCCACTACACAACACTGTACATGCATTCGGACGCTTTAGGGACCAGGTGCATTCGGACAATTCCTATGTTGTGAATGTATCCGGTCAAGAAAGAGTTCAAATGCACGTACAGTGTTGTGTTGTGGAGTGAGCCCCAAAATCATCCTCAGCTGAGCTTACCGTACAAAATAAAATCATCTTGAGCTGAGCTTACCGTACAAAATAAAATCATCCTGAGCTGAGCTTACCATACAAAATAAAATTCTCCTGAGCTGAGCTTACCGTACATAATAAAATCATCCTGCCAATGAAAATCCACGGCCGTGTGTTTCCAAAACTCTTTCCGCCACTCTTTCCACCGTGTGTCAGACAAAGGGCATAATAGCCATAACTAGGTGGACAACCGTTTCCCAGCCCCAGTTACAGAGTGCACATGCACATATAGATGGGAGATCCATACCCTTTGTCGTCAACCATTTTGCTGTAGGGGTGATTTGTAGGGACTGCAACCATTGTAATGCAGCCTGTCTCTGGGAGGGCATGGTTTTCAAACCTTTCGAGAGTTCTACCAGGTCGACGTCCTCCACTGAGGAAACTTGGACCTCTGTTAATCTGTTCTTGGCTGTTAAAACTGGTCTTTTCTTGGCCTTTTGTTCTCCTGCTGTTGTAGGTAGGACTCTGATTCTCGTTTTGTACTGGCATGAGGGAAGACTTCTTCTTGTGTAAGAACCTGATTTCCGACCAAAAAGCACCGGCTCAACTACTATCTTATCTTGTGGAGACATTATCAATTGGCAAACTGTTCCTTTCTGTGTAAAAACTGTTCGTACACTCGTCACCTCTTCCAGACCTATAGAGTGGAAGCCACCGTGCCTTCCTCTTCCCAGATAAGTTTTGGTTAGCTCTCCCAGGCCTCCTCCATTTTTGGATTTTAATACCGGACCTCAGATCTGGACCCATAATTTTCCAGACCTTATTAGTTCCCTCTCTTTATGCAGGGCACAAACCCAGCGGCAGGGGATAGCTTGTTTTACTTCGATATAGTTCCGTTCGACTTGTCTGAGTCCAACAAGCTTCCTTTGTACCCTGTTCAATGGGAGCCAGTCTGCTGCCTCCTTGTTGTGGGGACCACTCCTCCATCATAATGTGCTCCGCCAATCGCAGCCAGCCCTTCTCTTCCTCACTAAACATTGCAGCCACTGGCCATTTGGCCACCAAAGCTATATTTTGTTGTATAGGATCTAAGATCCCAAGCCCCCCTTTATCCCTTGCACAGCAAATCAACTCCCAGGCGGCCTTGATTACGAAGCCTTGATGTTTTGTTGCCAATGGCGTCCATACGTACCTCACTGGCGCCCGCCTGATTGCCTTGTATGCTTCTTTCCCGAGCAAATGTACAGACAAGGGGAACTAGAGAATAGAAGGCCGGTGAACTAAGGACCAGGGCCCTACCAAACAAAGTAAGTTGATGGTTCCTCACCCATCCATTGACCCTTGACACTAACTTCTCTACCAATATACCATCCTGGGTAGCCTAAGGGAGCAGCCCATGAGGGACACTTGTACCCCTAAAAACTGGTCTGATGTGTTTGCAGGGATTCGGCGGAGACCCCAGTCTACCTACAAGGTGAACGGCTGGAGCAAAAAATAAACCGATTCGTCCCAGTTAATGGAGGCCTCAGAGAGTTCCCAATATTGATCCAAAATCTTCTTTAACACCTCCAAGGCTTCAGTCTTGTTTACACATGCAACAGTTAAGTCGTCGGCTATTGCCCCACCCTTCCAGTTAATTGTTGGGGGAATGTGTAAGCCTACAATACGAGGATTGCTCCTAGTATTGAGCATAAGTACTTCTGTGTGACAAACAATAACGGTGTTAACGGACAACCTTGCCTAAGTGACCTAGACAGCTGGAATTCCGATGATAATTGTCCATTCACCACAACTACAGAGGACACATCTGTATACATTGCCTTAACCCATTTGTTGAAGCCCTCTCCAAAACCCATTTTTCTTAATGATGTGAACACAAAAGCCCACGCGACCTTATCATAGGCTTTTTTTTTCCATATCTAGTAATGATACTATCACATCCTTATGTTCCCCACCGATCACTTCTAGGGTCTGCATCGTAGGCATAATATTATCAAATATGGATCTCCCCTGTACAAAGGCCCCCTGTTCCTTCCCCACCAAGTTAGGGAGATAGTCGGCTAAACGGATCGCTAGCACCTTGGCCAGTATTTTGTAGACCACATTCAAGACCGAGATCAGCCTGTAGTTTCTAACCTCCCTCTTATCCTCTTTTTTTATAGAGGAGGGGGATCGCTCCCGTAAGCCAACACTTGGGCAGTTGACATGTCGCCAGACCGTTATTGAATACTTGGCATAAGAATGGGCCAAAGGCTTCGCAAGTGCTCAAAAAGAGCTCCACAGTCCATCCAACCCCGAACATTTCCCCTTTGTCATTTGCTTAGTCGCTATGTGCAGTTCCTGTAGAGTGAATGGGGAGTTCAACAGGTTTTTAGAAACAAAAACAAAAATTTGCGGTGTAGAATTCAATATTGCAAACTACGTGCGTGAGGACTCTGGAAAGGGAAGGAAAAAAAAAAAAAAAAAAAAAAAAAAGGGAACTGCTTTCTTTGTGTGTTGCCGTTTGTCACCCACCGCAAGGGTCTTATTTTCTCATTTTGAGATCTGGTCTTTACAATGTCATCTTTGTTTTAGGGTGAATAGGGGTGAGGTGCTTGACCAGGTGTGGGCAACAGGGGAGATGGGGGAGTTGATGGGGCAGGGTATCCTCACCTTGTTACACAAAAAAGGAGACGAGATGGATATCAGAAACTACCGGCCGATAACCTTGTTTACAATAGTTTATAAAATTTGCTAAAGCCTTCGCAAACCGATTAATCCCGGTCTTAGATGACATTATTCACCCGACACAGATCGGGTTTGTCAAAGGGCGCATGATCCAGAATAATATTCTATTAGTCAATGAAGTTCTCAAACTCACAAGAGAAGACAAGCGGAATGCGGCCGTGGTCTTCATCGACTTTGAAAAAGCATATGACCACATGACAATTTTTGGGCCCGAGTCCTGAAACCTTTGTATTTTTTATTCTGGTTACACCCTTTTTGACCCAATTGCACCACGGGTTGGCCGAGCTGTAATACACCCTACTATGTCGGTCTGTAATCCACCTGTTCCCAAACAGGGGCTGATGCATCACCTCTTCTCATCTAGACGGTGCAGGTTTGTCAGGTAGCGGAAGTTGTCGCCAGGCGTTCAGGACTCGGGCCCAAAATTGTCCTTTGCCAAGTCCAGGGTTGCGTCTCGGTGTGTATCACGATCAGTTCGCGGCCTGCATGGCACAGTCCAGAAACGGTCTTCCAGCCATGTCAATGAGTTTACTCCTTGCGGTGTCTGTGGGGCTAGTCTAGCTATCTGTTCCAGGGCAAGGATAGACCATGGGAGATGCTGAGTGAAGAGAAGTCTCCTAATCCATTGAACTGCTAGTGTTGTGATCTGGGTATCCGGGCCTAGGATCCCCAGGCCCCCTTTATCCTTGGATTGGATCACAAAGGACCAGGCCACCATAATGATCATATTCGGGAATTCACCATTGCCTCTCCAAAGGAGAGCCGTTAGTTGTCACTTCAGCAATCGGGCCGCTTCTTTACTGAGAGTCCAAATTGCGGATTTATACCACAGAGCCGCTAACACTACACTGTTGATTGCGAGTGCCCTACCAATGAGAGAGGTATGTTGGTCTTTCCAGTGAGCCAGTTTTTCTAGGGCGGGTTGAATGATCTAGTCATCTTTCGAAGCGGGCTTACCTAGTGTCGTCAACTTGATTCCCAGCACTCTTACGGGGGCCTTTTCCGGAAGCCACTTAATACATGGTAGATCAGGGGGACGCACCCCTCGATGGGGGACCCACCACCCCAAGGTCTTGTTTCCGCAATTGACAGTCATGTTTGAGACTGTTGTGAAGCGGTGAAAAAGTCGTCTGATCTCTTCCATATTTGTTGTGGTGGCGTCAACCATGAGTGTC